TGGTTGTGATGTTTTGAGAAGATGTTTGAAATTATGTGGTGTTTATTAAAGTTAAGGATGTATTCTTTGAATATTTCACACTCTAATTCTAACCAGTAACACTCTGATTTATGTAAAATCATCACAAAATTTTTATTTTCTACAATTATAACACTACATTATCTCCTGGTAAATTTCAGCTTTCAAGAGGGGATTGATTACTGGTTCCAATATAACACATTCTATAACTACATATTTCTAGACTGAAAGCTCCTTCTTTTCTTTTCTCCTCTCTCTTTTTGGTACCTGGGATTGAACCCAGGGCCTCTTACCCACTGAGACACATTTCCAGCCCTTCTTTTTATTTATTTTTTGACAGGGTCTCACAAAGTTGTGTAGGGCCTTGCTAAGTTGATGAGACTGGCTTTGAACTTGTGATGCTCCTGCCTTAGCCTCCCACTCCACTGGAATTACAGGCATGCACCACCATGCCCAACTGAGTGCTCCTTATTTTCATAACCTGACCTGACAGTATAGTTTCTATATAAACACATATGATTTTTTAAAGTGGCATAATATTTTCTAGTTTGGCTTTAGGATTACAAATTTTGGCAAAATCTCTGATTCTATATTTAAATGGCAGAAGTGCCACTATTGTGGATTATTCATTGGGTTCAGCAGAGTGACAGAGTTGGCTTGCAGTGTAATAGAATAGATATTCTTAGAATAAAAGAAACTCTGTCCAGCTGCTTTTCCTGAAGCTCAGACAATGAAGCAGCCTTTTGCCTTGAATCAGATTCAGAATTGATGGGTACATCTTGATGTACTGCTGCTAGAGCTACATATGACCATCTGATGCAGGGTAAAGTACCAAATAGTTCTTCTCCCTTATTAAACAGAATATAATATACTCTCAGCCTAAGATTTTTTTTTTTAACATTATTCTTATTAGGCACAGTGGCACACACCTGTAATCCAGGTGATTTGTGATGCTGAGGCAGGAGGATCACAAGTACAAATCCAGCCTCTGCAATTTAGTGAGACCCTGTCTCAAAATAAAAAATAGAAAGGGCTGGGAAAATAGCTCAGTGGTAAAGTACTCTTGAACTCAACCCCCAGTACCAAAGAAAGAGAGGAGGAAAGAGGGAGGAAGAAAAGAAATCGTTCTCTTCTACCCCTGCGGGAAGCTATCTTATAAAGTATTCCATTACTATAAATCTTTTGAGTGTAACCTTCCTTCAAAAGCTCTTTCCAGCTCAATATTAAGATCTGTCGTCATATACCCAAGATAAATTTAAACACATATTCACATAAACCTACACAAATGTTCACCAGCAGCATTGTTCATAATAGTAGAGCCAATCCAAATGTCTAACTGATGAGTGGATAAGTAATATGTTGAATATCTATAAAATGGAATATTATTCATCCCTTAAAGATGTGAAATATTGATAGATGCAACAACATGAACCTTGAAGACATTATGCCAAATAAAAGAAGCTAAATACAAAAGGCTACTGTTATCAGTCAGTGTTCTCCAGAGAAACAGAACCAGTAGGATTTATTTTAGGGAATTGATTATGGAGGCTGGCAAGCCCAGAATTTGTAGAAAAAGCCAGCAAGCTGGAAAATGAGGCAGGAGTTACTGTAGTCTTAAGATATAATTCATCGTTTTCAGTTCAGATAAACCTTAGAGACCTACTCTTAAGGCCTTCAACTGATTGGATGAGACCACCTACATTAAGTAACTGATTTCTATAGTCCAGTCAAGTTAACAAACAAAATTAACTATCATAGTCACATAATGTCCAATTTCATTTATATGAAAGTCTAGAATGGGACAATCCATAGAGTACACTTGTGTGGTGGCCAGGGGTTGACAAGGAAAGAGGAAGGAGGAGTGATGCTTTTTATGGGTTTCTTTTCAAAATGATGAAAATGTTCTGGAGTCAGTAGTGATAGTTGTACAATTCTGTGAATATAAGAAAAGTCATTAATTGTATGTGTTAAATTGTTAGTTTTTATGGTACGTGAATTATATCTCGAAGATGTTTTAAAATAGAGATGATCTGTGATGACCCAGTTCTCTCTGGCCACCTGTAGATTTATAGGTTGTGACCTAAACTATTTTCTAGGTATCTCATTCCTTTGAATGCATTTTCAAGTTTCAGAGAATATAGGAAACTATTCATTATGACTCAGTTCATGTAAATAAGATTACATCAGTAAATAAAATTAAACTTTATCAAAGCAGTGTTGTACCACTGTGCCAGCCCAAAGCTGAATTCTTGAATACCCCTTTCCTTATTCTTCTGCATATAGATTTGATTGTACTGTGATTTTAGGTGATACACAAATACTTTTATTTTAATAGTTATATATTTTGATATGAATTGGAAAAATATAAGTAGCTTTTCAAGCCAGCCATTTCATGAGTATTATTGCTGAGGTAAAGCTCAGCAATATAATAGGTTGTGGTATTAGGTCTACATTGTTTTTTAAAATTAGTCAATAATAATATAGGTAGTATACTAAAAGGCAAAAATCATGAATGTATTTTGGTTAACATTGCTTTAAACTATATCTCATACCTCCCCACCTTTGGGTATCAGTATTCAATCAAGAACAGCTTTTCTGCTAGTCATTTCTTAAGTTTCTGTCTCTCGGCATTCCCAGATTAGGACAAATGATGTCTTTCTCAGAATCATGTTAAGTTGTGCTCAGTGCTATGATACATAGACAACAAACCAGCCCTATTTTAAATATGTAACATCAGTTATGTGTTCACATTTTTCTGGGGAAATCCTAGTATGGATTTGGCAGGTGAATCTATGAGATATATATAAAATTGGGCAAGAACAGGAAAATCAACAAAAATCAAATTATCCTCTTCTTCCAAACCTTCTTGGTAGGTTGGAGTGGAGTTAATGAGTGACTTTCTGTCTTAAATCAGTTTAAATCAGGCATCTCATTTGTGGTAGTATTTCCATAATGAAAATGTTAGCTGCTTGTGGATAGGGCCTGGGTTTGAGGTTCTCTTTTCGTAAAGTAGGGCAATTTTATATTATCTAGTTAGATTAGCATTATTACTCATCTTTCTCTTTAGTTTTCCTTTCCCTCTTTTTTCCTTCTTTAAATGTTGGGAAAGAAAGAGTCTACAATTCAATTTACAAAAACAGGATCTTAGTAAAGGAACTTATTATGTCTCAGCCAAGGTGAATGGGGAAAAAAATTTGGGGTGCTGTTTTGGGATTTCTGTCAGGGATGTGTCAGTTCTCAGCATTGCTATCATGCAGGATTTTCAGGTTGGATTAGGGCCTGTGCCTCCTTGACCAGTAGCTTTGTTGGTAGACTAATTTAGTTGCAACTTCAGCCTGTTTCAAGATACTTTGTATTTGGCAGCCTTTATAGTAAGCACAGATCCTTTGGCTTTCCTCTAAGAATTTCATACACAGTTGTGGGAATACTTTTTTGGTTTATAAATTGCTCACTTTGTTCTAGGAGATTAATGTTTCTTTTTCTACTAGCATAGCAATAGGTTCAGGAGATACTTGAACTGGCATCTGCCTAACAAGACAAAAGGAGGGTACTTTAAATTCTTAATCCAAGTGCTGGGAGTATATCTAAGTAGTAGAGTGCTTGTCTAACATATGAGAGGCCCTGGGTTCCACCCCCAGCACTGTAAAAACAAACAAACTTATTTCCTGGCCCATAATTATAATGTGGAATGGTCCTAAAGATGACTCATCCCTGGTCTGAATTATTAGTTCTGTGTTTATAGTACTTTTATAATAATGCTTATAAAATGAAATTTTTTCCTTTCATAATTCAAATTAATATTCTACTTTTAGTCATTTCTTTATGCAGTTACATAAAAACTAACATAAAAACTATTTCTAGAGAAATACCATCTGTTCCAGGATAATATTAGCACTTTCTTGGGTTAGGATGAAACTGGTCTCCTGTCCTGAGTTTGTATAGTACGACAATGGAGGTAGCACTATGGTTAAAGGTTATAAAGAATCAGGTCCTTCTCTGTTTAGATTTATTTCTTCCTTTCTTTTCTTGTGCAGGGGGATTGAACCCAGGCCCTTACACATGCTAGTCAAGTGCTCTGCCACTAAGCTACACTCTAGTCCCCCTAAAATTCTTTGAAATGTTTTTTATTTATGGTTTTTAATCCCTGGCTTTTGCCTATAGTCAAATAAAAATGTCAGTGTTTTCAATGTTCTAAGCAAAATAGCCTACATAGCTATAACTCCCTCCTAGAAAATCATCTGGAATAGCAAAGTCAGGAGAGACAGTAAAGTAGTAATTTTTTCTGTTTGTTTGAAAAGTTAGACTTTGGAATGCTTACCTCTGAAGGAAAGCTTTTGTTTATTTGTTCTTGAGGTTCTGGGGATTGAACCAAGTGCCTGGTACATGGGAGGCAAGTGCTCTACCACTGAGCTACACCCCAATCCCTAGACATTATACTATTAAAATTGCATTGTTTATAACTTTTACTCTCTGTTCTTATGTTTAGAAAAGATATAGTTTAGCAGTGGGACCTCCCAAGAAAGACCCAAAAGTTAAAGGTGTCCAATCAGCAGCCGTACAAGCTTTTCTTAGAAGGAAAGAAGAGGAACTTAGACAAAAAGGCAAGTGTCTTAATATTAAGGTCTTCTACTTTCATATATTATTTGCAACACTGGATGTTCATAAAAACAGTAGACTAGTGGATTTGGGGTGGATGTTTGTATGTATTAAATTTATTTATAGCTTTCCTTTTGTTCATATGTTGGTAACTTGTAAATTTTCTTTTGCTGCTACTTAAAAGCTTTTTGGAGCCAGGTGCAGTAGCATGCCCTGGAGTCCCACCTATTTGGGAAGCTGAGGGAGTCAGATAGCTAGAACCAGGAAGTTGGGACCAGTTTGGACAACATTATGAGACCTTGTCTCTTAAAAAAAAAAAGGAACTTTTGAGGATTGTGATCATGTCTTCTAATTGGCCATAGTGAATCCCTAATAAGTTCTTCATTCTTTAACTTATTTAACCTTGGTTCTAAAACTATTTCTACTTATTTTGTACTTTATTAAATTAATAAGGATGTTATATTTTCAAAAAGAGTGTTATCTAAAAAATTTAAACATGGACTTTTTAAAACCATGAAACTCAAGTAGTAGTTTAAATGACAAAGAAAAAATTGAATAAGTATTTATTGATTTTATAATTAACAAGTGGGTACCAATTGTTCCCCTAACTTGGTATATTATTTGGTACGAACCATTTTCTTGTATATATGTATTTATTGCAGTACTGGGGATTGAACCAGAGGTGCTATACCAATGAACTACATCTCCAGCCCTTTTTATTTTATTTTTTTATTTTGAAAGTGGTCTTGCTAAATTGCCAAGGCTGTCCTTGAACTTGAAATCTTCCTGCCTTGGCCTCCTGAGTCTCTGGGAGTTTCTGGAAGTCACTTGAGATTTTAAGTGTGTGCCATGTGCCTGGCCCTGTTTTCTGTATTTAAAGCAGAAAACCAAATTTCCCACTTACTGAGTCATATAGAAAAACCCATATATTATCTACTTATTATGTAAAGATGACTCAATTGCTGCTTTTCAAATGACTTCCACATTTGATTCCTAGATATCTTCAGTTTGTTTTGAAGATTTTGATTGAAGTTTGATTGAAGATTTTGAAGAACATTGTTTTGGCCAACTACTGATTTCAGATGAGCACACTGATGTCTTGAGACCTTGAAATAATATGTTCTTGTTTTGTCCTTTTTAGCCTTAGAAGAGAAAAGGAGAAAAGAAGAACTAGTGAAAAAACGAATTGAGCTCAAACATGACAAGAAAGCAAGAGCTATGGCCAAGAGGACAAAGGATAATTTCCATGGTTACAATGGGATTCCTATTGAGGAAAAGTCAAAGAAGAGGCAGGCAGTGGAAAGCCACACCAGCCAGGCAGTACAACAAGAGTATGAGATGGAAGAAGAGGATGAATTTTTAGAATACAATCAAGCAGAGTCAGAACAGGAGTATGAAGAAGAGCAAGTACCTCCCAAAGTTGAAAGCAAACCAAAGGTCCCCCTTAAAAGTGCCCCACCACCTATGAACTTCACTGATTTACTGAGGCTGGCTGAGAAAAAGCAGTTTGAACCAGTGGAGATCAAGGTAGTGAAGAAATCAGAAGAGCGGCCTATGACTGCGGAAGAACTTAGGGAGCGAGAATTCCTGGAACGAAAGCATAGGAAAAAGAAACTTGAGACAGATGCAAAACTACCTCCAACTGTGTCCAAAAAGGCACCCTCTCAGAAAGAAAGTGTGGGCACAAAACTTAGCAAAGGTTCTGGGGACAGGCGTCTTTCTTCTAAAGGAATGCCCTTTCCTCATAGTGAGAAGAAATCCAAACCCAGCACAGCCCATGAGAAACACTTATCAGTGTCTTCATCCAAATCCATGCCAGGAGAGAGGACCAAGGCAGGATCTGGCTGTAGTTCCCAACCCTCACTTCGTGAGGGTCATGACAGACCTGTTTTCAATGGGGCTGGAAAGCCCCACTCTAGCACCTATTCACCAAGTGTCCCAAAGACTTCTGCCAGTGGGACTCAGAAATCTGCTACTGAGCACAAAGCCAAAAAATTTCCCCCTTTTCATCCTAGCCATTCCAAGCCTGGGCCCACAGTCACCCCACACAATAAGGCTAAGAGTCCAGGTACCAGGCAGCCAGGCAGCAACTCCAACTCAGCCCCTGGGAGACCCAGCCCAGGGACTGCTCGGTCCATACTTAGTTCTGGCCCTGTGCCTAGACGCCAGAATGGCAGCTCCAGCTCAGGACCTGAGCACTCGGCCAGTGGGACCAAGAAGCTAGTCAGTGACTCAAATCCTTCTGGGCCGACAGTCACTGGTACAAATGGCCCTGGAAGACCTGCAACCATTTCAAGTGGCCCTGGGCGACCCATCAATGTCTCAGGTAGTTCTGGGAGACTTGTAGGCAGTTCTGGAGGCCCTGGGCGGCCTACAAGCAGTCCACATGACCTTCGACAACCCGTGACTAGCTCAGGACCCCCTGGGCGGTCGGTCAGTGGGCTTGGACGATCCATAAGTGGCTCGGTTCCAGCTGGACGTATTATCAGTAGTTCAGGCCCTGGAAGACCAGTAAGTGGCTTAGGACCTGGGCGAACAGTTAGTAGCCCAGGTCCCCCTTTAAAGCCCAAGTGTACTGTTGTGTCAGAAACAATATCTTCCAAGAATATTATTAGCCGAACCAGCAATGGACAGATAAATGGAATGAAACCTGCTCTCTCTGGCTACAGATCTGCCCAAGGTAAAATTGCCTCTCAATTTCCCCAGGAAATTAGAAAGAGTACTTTGTGTTATATAATCAAGGACCTTGCAAATCCTTCCATGTGCCCTTTAATGAACTCTGGTAGTGATGGAATCCTAATGTTTTGTCTGTCCTGTGTCTGCCTGCCCTATTCCTTTAATGATTGTGATTTGGAAAAGTCTTTAGAAAAGAGACTTATCTGTGTTAACTGCTACAGTAAACTTGCTTTATGATTTGTGAGATAGGGGGCTGACACATGCCTTATATGCTTCAGTGGTTAAATTAATCTTTTCATGAACACTGAAGAGACCTGTCTTCAGGGGATCAAGGGTAATTGTAATCTTGAAACCTTTTGGTGAATTGTTCATTGAGTCAAAGTTTGTTAGGAGCCTATTATGTGGAGCTATTTTAGACTGTCCTTGTGTTTCTTCTCCCTATAATGAGTAGTATCAAAGTCTTAACCACTGGTGCTTTAGGAATCTGCTGTCCCAAGGTGCAGAATCATTGGTTGCATCTGTTAGCTACTAGGTTATAGCTGCTTCATGCTAACAGGCATTACTTTAAAGCATTTGTTAGGCACTATGGAGACTAGAAAAAGAAATCAATGATGAAATTCCTTTAAATTTTCTAATTCAACTGGGCACAGTAGCATATGCTTGTAATCCTGTAATCCCAGCTATTCTGGAGGCTGAGGCAAAAGGATCACAAGTTCAAGGCCAGCTTCTGCAAATTGGCAAGATCCTGACCCAATAAAAATGACTGGGGATGTAACATAGTGGTAGAGTGCTACTGGGCTCAGTCCATAATACCAGGAAAAAAATATATATTTTTTTCCTCATTCAGCTAGGTCATTGATTTTTCAACAGGTGACTTTTCCCCCAAGGAGACATTTCACATTGTCTAGAGACATTTTTTATTTTTACATCTGGAGACAGGAGAGATGTTAATGAGTCTTTTGGCAAAATGACATAAAGAGGTAATGGAGTGAGTTTTTCCTATAGTCAGTTTAGTCACTCAGTTTGAAAAATTATTTTGAGAATCTTTTATATTTTGTTGAATTTGTTTTTTTGCTATGGAGTCTTGGTCTGTTGCCCTTGCTGGCCTCAAGCTCCTGGATTCAAGAAATCCTCTGCCCTGTGAGATTATAGGTACATATAAGACTTAAAATTTTTTAATGAAATTATGGTGATCAAAAATAGAAGGGTGCTTCCTTTTATCTTATTTGGCAAAAATAAAAATTAATGATTTTGTGACAGTTTGTAACTTTTATTTATTCATCTTTAGGTATTTTACTGATCTTTTAAATCCCAGACGTATGGACACTGCTAAGCTAGAAAATATAGACATTTCTGATAAAATCTGGGATAATTCAGGCATGGTGTGCATACCTGTAAACCCAGTGACTCAGGAGGTTAAGGCAGGAGAACGATAAATTTGAGGGCAGCGTCAGCAATTTAGTGAGACCCATCTCAAAATTAAAAATAAGAAAAAGGGCTGGGGTTTGATCCATAGTGGCAAAAAACTTGGGACAAGCAAATTCTATTCCTTCAGGATAACATGCTGAAGGACAGCCTGTTTGCTCTAGTTTTTAAGAATACTGTCTTAATGATTTCTCAGAATCTCAAATTACATAGAACTTGGGTGGTAATATTTTAATATTTAAAGTTTTAATGTTCCTTTAAATAATGGTTTCTCTTCTTAGGTCCTCAAAGACTTCCTTTCCCTACTAGTTACAAAAGGCAGCGAGGATATGAGGAGGAAGATGATGATGATGAATATGATTCTGAAATGGATGATTTCATTGAAGATGAAGGAGAACCTCAGGAAGAAATATCCAAGCACATTCGAGAAATCTTTGGCTATGACCGAAAAAAGTAAGGCTAAAGAAGATTTAGATAAATGTGATATACTTTTTATTTTTAGTAATTCATGTTATAAGGGAGAAATAAATAGTAGATTCACTGAGTGTAATGCTTAATTGGAGAGCCTTGGGTGATAGTTATTTTGAATAGAATTACCCTTTGGGCACTTAATATTTTAGAATCCAGAATAGTTTAGTTATTTGCATGAGGACCAAAAAAAAAAAAATACTCTTTTCAATTTGTTATTTTATATATATTTAAGGAAAATGGAACATGTAGTAGAAATAGATTGGCTTTGGGCTGAGCCCAAAGTACAGGACTTTAATCTCAGCCTTTAAATTTCTCTTCCCCAACTAAAGCCAGGTGTGGTGGTGCATGCCTTAATCCCAATGACTCAGTAGACTGAGGCAGGAGGATAGCAGGCTTCAGGCCAGCCTCAGCAACTTAGTGAGACTCTATCTCAAGAGAAGATTAAATGAAGGGTTGGGGGGATGTAGCTTAATGGTAAAGCACCCTGGGTTTCAAAATGCCAAGAAAGAAAAGGGAAAAGAAAAAAGAAGGAAATAAAGAAGAAATGGCTAAGATTTTTTTTTTCATTTTTTTAAAAATTTGTTATATATGACCGCAGAATGCATTCATATTACACATACAGCACAGTTTTTCATATCTCAGGTTGTAGACAAAGATGGCTAAGACTTTTTTTTTAAAAAAGAAAACAAATTGGCTTTGAAGTCAGAAATCCACCCTGATCTGACACCTGCTTTTTTCTTTTGTGTAAAAAGTTTTACTTCTAGGGGCTAGGATTGTGATTCAGTGGTAGAGCACTTGCCTAGCATGTGTGGCCACTGGGTTCAAGCCCCAGCACCACATAAAAATAAAATAAAGGTATTGTGTCCAGCCAACTACAACTAAAACAAAATATTAATTTTTTTTTCTTTTTTTACTACTCAGTGTGAACCATGGACAGTAGTGTGGGACCAGTAACATTGATACACCTGAGAGCTTGTTATTTTTATTTTTTAAAGAGAGAGAGAGGGAGGGAGGGGGGGAGAGAGAGAGAATTTTTTTATATTTATTTTTTAGTTTTCGGTGGACACAGCATCTTTGTTTGTATGTGGTGCTGAGGATCGAACCCAGGCCGCACGCATGCCAGGCGAGCGCGCTACCGCTTTAGCCACATCCCCAGCCCCTGAGAGCTTGTTATAAATATGAGCTCTAAGGATTCACCTCAGTCTTATTGAATCCAAATCTACTTTATAAGGTCTCCAGATCATCCATATATATATAATTACATTAAAGTTTGAGAAGCTGGGTATAAAGCCTAGCACAATCCTTACATTAGTACTTGCTACCTCTTTAGAACCCTAGATGAGAAAAGTTAAAAAAACAAAAATTACTAGAGTGGAAGAATTAGATTAAAAATCAGATCTAAAAATCTAATCTGAGCCATGTGCAGTGACATAAGCCTGTAGTCCCTGGTACTTAAAAGACTGAGGCAGGAAGATCATTAATTGAGGCTGACCTGAGCAACATAGGGAGACTCTCTTTAAAAAAAATAAAAATATAATCTTAGTGCTGTCAGTAATTTAGCTATCAACTCTTGGTCAAACCATTAATAAAACTACTTTAGTTTCTTCTGTCCTAAAGTCCTGTGCCACCTCATGATGGTCATGAAACTAAATGAGATTCACATATATAATATAAAATAATTTTCAGATTATACTTTCAGGATTTTAATATAAATTGAGTGAATTGAGGAAGCATTGTTGGATTGGTACCTTCATAAACATTATAGAGTTGGGAATAGCGGCTTTCTAAGAATAATAAGTGCTCATTTATTTTTGCAGTAGAAACTTACTTCTACCTATTGTAGAAATGCTAAGCAAGGAGGAATGATCCTAAATGTGTTTGATTTAGTTATAAAGGTTTGATTTTTTTCAAGTGAGAGGATGTAAATTTTTAAGAAATTTTAATTTTTTTTAACAACTTTCTTCAGATACAAAGATGAAAGTGATTATGCCTTACGTTACATGGAGAGTAGTTGGAAAGAGCAGCAGAAGGAAGAAGCAAAGAGGTAAGCATAAAACTTAACACATTTGTGCAAAAATATCCTAAAACTTTTCCACAACCTTTTAAAATGTTTTCTCATTTGTAAAATTTGAATACACTATTTTACTCATTGAGGTATTATGAAGATTAAGACAATGAGTATATGTTACACATGTAACATATAACATAGTATATGTTACATGTGTAACATACAGTAAATATTAGAGGCCTCGCATATTATGAGGGAAATGCTGTGCTTTTCTTCCTCCATCAGATTCATTCTCGCTAACTTCTAACTTTGTTGGCTTTGAGGACCCAGTAACAGTAAATTAGATTGCCTCTACCTGGTTCCTGTTTGGCTACCAAATAGTAAACTAATGATAATTTTTCAGTAAGGGTAACTTGTGATTACTTTGCTTATAGTGTTAATTAATAATTATTATTATTACCTATTATTAGTAAATAATTCACTTCAGTCTCAACCCACAAAACTAAAACTCTTTCCCCCTTCTGTAACTAGATAAAATGTCAGACAAAGGGTTCTTTTGAATGTTGTTATTGAGTAAATCATCTTTGTTCTTTATTTTTAAAAAGTTTTGAAATAAATTTTTATTACTTTGATAGAAATATTAAGGCATTTTGTTGTTGTAAGATTTTTTTCTTCTACAATTTGGGTTTGTTAAAAAAAATGTTTTCAGAGATAAAATCTTGAGGCTTTTTGAGAACATCAGCAGGGTTCACGTGAGCTTCCAGGTGAAATTGCACTTTTTGATTTTTAAAGTGGTAATCTCATGTATATTGACAAATACCATTTAAACTTTTTTTCAACAGTTTAAGACTAGGTATGCAAGAGGACTTAGAGGAAATGAGACGTGAAGAAGAAGAAATGAAACGTCGAAAAGCCAAGAAGCTGAAGAGACGTTAGCTGCTCTTTATTTTTGAAAAATTCTGGAAACACTGCTGCAAGGAGATTCTGCCTTCAGACTGAATAAGCCCCCTTTTCATTTTAGATTTATACTTGGGTACTCAAGAGAAGGAATGCATACTGTTACTTGCAGGCTGTCAACTGAGCATAAAGTATTTTCAAATACTCCAGGGTGAAATCTGTAATGCCCACAGTGTGCTCTTATGAAGTTAACTGTTCACACAAGATGCCAGCCTTGATCCTGATGAGCTATGCACTCTAATGTGGGGCCACTGACAAGTCAGCCAATCTTCTGTTGTTCCTTTGCTATTTTAAAAGGAAAGAAAGGATTGCCTCTTGACTCCTTATAATTCTGCTGATGTGAGTAGGGCACTGCCCAACTCCAAATCAAACTCATTGTCTTTATGAGGAACCTGGCCCTTCCATGAATGTTTCCAGCAATAAAGTGACCTGTCCTAATCTATATGTTTGGATTGAGAACTCAAAAATGTAGAGTAAATTTTATAATTATCACATGGATGTCATCCTTGTGACTTTAAAGTACAAAGTAGAAGGAATTATATTGTATTCTGCATTATACATGGATTGCATTACTGAACATTCTTATTAATTTAGGTGGTTAGGCAAATAAAAGTTTTCCAGTTAAAAATACAAGTTAGGCCAATATAAGAATGTTCTTTTCTGAGTTTTCCTTTCAGATTTATTGAGTTATTTTTTGTTTGTTTGTTTTTGGTTTTTTTTTTTAGATTTATTGTTATGTTGGCTTTAGCGTAAAACAGACAAGGTCACTGTGCTGATTTATTTTTTTCTAAAGAAGTTCATTTTTATATTGAAGAAAAAAATTATTTTATTCAAATGTTAGATTTGAGAGAGTGTTTAAAAGAAAGTGACATGAGAGGCTCCCCCAGTACAAAGATATTTTGGAATCCCAAGGTCCCCTTGTACCTCTTGATGTTAATGACTGCATTTTTAGCTTAAATTCCTTAGAAAATATCAATGACAAAAAACCAAAAACTAAATTTGTTGTGTATTAAAAGCATCACCTTCTCTTTTTGCCCATATTGCACTTTTCTTTCAAACTATGCACTGTGAAGAGATTCCCACTCCCCAACCCCTAACCCCCAGGTAGAAAAGGGTGTTTCCTGTTATTGGTATTTTATTGGGCTGTGGAACTTTCTTCATTTTCACTCTTAAAGTCATATCTATAGACATTATATCACTTAAGCCTCAAGTCTAAGCAGTTCCAGTCAGGCTGACCTGAGATCTGTCTGGAAGGAAGCCAATTCTCAAGGACAATTAGCAACAGAAAATGAGACAAGATATTACAGAGCATTTGTCCTGAACTCCAAATATGGAGGATTGGAGGCAGTCAGAAATAAGCTTGTAGGACAATACTTCAATAATTGTTCTGGCTTAAGCCACTGGACAGTGGGGGAAAGGAAGTAGAAGGGGAATTGTCCTACAAAGAATCCTTACTCACTCTTCAGCAGACACAGACATTTTCATATATTCCTTTTTACCCATGAAGTCTTTATTCTTCGAGTTTGGGTATTATAGTATTACCGAGTACCATTGTTAGCTTTCATTAATGGGACCATATGACCAAGTCCTTTAAAACTTATTTTGAATTGAGTTTCAAACTTTGAAAGTGCAAGGATTCAATTTTAAAGTTGGAATCCCATGAAATGTGTTTTCTTCATTAGGAGTAACACCATAACTCTTCACATAGATGTTACACTAGTAGTAGAAAATCCTATTGACTTCCTCTCACCCATCTCAAACACCTTCAGTGAAATTGATTTAAGGGTAGTGGGATATTCTGTTTAATAAAATAGGTTTAGAACATTTTCTCTACCATAGGCCCTCCCTCAAAAAAGTTTTTTTCTTGGATTTTTTTTTTCAATATTCAGACTCTGAAATTTGTAATTACAATCAAATACTTATAGCTGAAAGATTTCTGGTGGCTTAAAATTTACTAGCACTGAATGAATGGTGCACTTATTACTGAAAGAAACCATTGTGCTAGATTAGTAGGAAGAGTCAGGTTGTAAATCTATCACTTTTGAGCGAGAAGTATTCTTTCATAATAAGATGCTGACCTGCATCAACATTATAAAAGAATACTTCTGGCTCATTAAAAAAAAGTTGTAAATTAATGTTGGCCTTGTTTTCAAGTCCTGTCTTCCATTTTGTTGTTCTACACTTCCTGACCACTCTTACAAAAAGCTTACAAGCCTCTGAAGAAACTGGAATAGGCTGTTATTTTCTCAAGGTTTACAAATTAAGTGATTGATTTTTAATGTATTCTCTACAATTTTGATTTTTAGATTTTCTTAATATTTGAAGATGTGCCTTTTATTGGGTAATGTTAATTCACGAATGTAATAATGTTATTTCACAATTATAAAAATGTTACATGATCATGGGTGTGGCATTCTCTAACACAAAAGATGTGAAAAGAAAGTAGTTTTCATAAAACTCATGGCTCTGATTGCACAGTCCATTTTGCTTGTGATGTTTCAATGTCAAAGCAAAGGGCACTTTCTTTTAAGGCTACTTTCAGAACTTGTCTTTGTATTTTCTCTATAAACTATAAATGCAATTATGTCCATTTGGAGGCCAGGGTACCACATGTCACAGGCAGCCTTACATGTGTGCCATGAGAAAGTTCAAAGACTGTTAACAAAAAGAAAGTCTATGGGAACTCAAAATTTCATTTTTTAATGGTAATCCCCAAGATTTTCTCCAAGAAATAAATTGTTATTTTGTATTTTGTAACTTAAAAGCAGCTATTAGTACATTTCTGAGATATAGCAGGAGACCAAAACATTTTTGAAAAGAGAATAAATATATGAAGAGAGACTGGTTGTTTTATTTTCAGTGTGCTGAATATATTAGACTATTTATTTTGTGAGTGGATGTGATGAAATAAATATTCAGGTGTTTAGTATATGATTAAGAGTGGAATATAGATTCTTTGAAGTTGTTAAATCCATCATGTCTTTTACATAATGGACAAATCAAGTTTGAAAAAACAAAACAACAACAACAACAACAAAAAAAACAACCTTTACATAGCTTAGCTTGTTTTCTGGTGCTGTTGACCTGCAAGAGAAAATACTTTTGCATATACAGGTGAATGTTTTGCAATTTATGTATACAAGAAATTGTAGGCATTAAAGATTTTATTGATATTTTTAGTGATTTGCATTTATTGATCAAAACTTTGAGTTATTCCTTATCATATTAAACAATTTTCTAGCTAAAATCTCCCTAGATTTTTCAGACTTTAGGGGTTGGGTTTGTCTCCCGTACACACTTCTCTGCTTGTTCTCTGTTATACATTCATGTCTCTTCAGCCCCTACCACTGATCTCTCTCTTCTTTTACCAGCTTAAGTCCTGTTGTGCTCTCAGATACCCAAGTTAAGAGAACTGTAAAGTGGCTAGAATAATACATTCAGAAATTATAGTAGTTGTGTTTATGGATTTCAAATTCATTTTATTTTTCATAAAAAGAAAAATCCATTCATTGTGAAGAGCCACTTACAAATAGTTTAGTAAACATGTACCAAGTAATCTTGTGTGAGCTTTTTGTCACTATAACCAAACTGACTAGTTTATTTTGGACTCAGTTTCACTAAGTCTCAGTCCATGGTCAGCTGATTCCATTGTTCTGGGACCATAGTGAGGCAGAATAACATGACAAAAAGGTGGGCAGAGAAAAGCTGCTAAGCTCATGGCAACTCAGAAGGAAGAAGAAGAGAGGAGCCAGGGACAAAATATATAATCCCCAAAGGCACCCCAATGACCTGCTTCCTCTAGCCACATCTCACCTGTCTATTAGTTACCTAACCTAGTAATCCACTCAGATTAATTAAACCATTAAGCCACTGATTAGGTTAAAGCTCTTATAATCTGATCATTTTACCTCTGAGCATTCTTGCATTTTTCATATGAACCTTTTGGGGACATCTCACATCCAAACCATTGACACTCTAACCAAAATATCTGCTTTGCTGGAAAGGATGCAGTTCTCTAGAGCATTAGAATTACAATCCCTAACCTGTGTTCCCACTTCCTGAGTGTTAATTGAAATCCTCAAACCACTTTCAGAGGGCTTATAAAGATCCTAGGGTTCAGGGCTAGGGATGTAGCTCAGTGGTAAAATGCTAGCCTGGCATGTGAGAGACCCTGTAGTCAATCCCCAGCATCCCCCCCAAAATTCTAGTGTTCCTACACTTAAATTTATTAATCAAATAGGTTTCTTAACTCAGTTTCCATCCCGGTTTCATAAACTACTCTGTACCATATGGAGGTCTGAGCCGTTAGCTTTTATGTCTGCATATACTGGCTTTGAGGAATTATCAGGCAGCTTCTTGTCTTCAGGTGATAGACATTTAGGTAACAAAATCTCAAGATATCCCAGTCATTCTCATTGGACTTGCCTTAGCACATAAAAGCATGTACTGGACAAGGCCTGGGTCTTAATCTTGACTTCGGCCTAGAGCTATGTTGGAAAGATATTTAAGCCTCTCAATTTCTGCCACATTGCAAAGTTAACACCCAGTTTCGGAAGGCTAATATGTATATTTTAGTATCTGTTCTCAATTTTAAAATGAGTTCCTTTCCCCACATGGGGTAAACTTTGTGTTCTTAGTAATAACTAAAAAGGCTACAGAGAAATGCCTACAAAGAACAGGCTTAAAGTTGCTGTAACCTCTAGCCCTTTTTTGTTAACAGTACTTAGGAGGAGAATATTATTTGGAAAGTAGGTCTAAAGAGCTCTAGAAATTTCTATCCTTAAGGAAATTGAGTAGGGGACACAAAATTGCCTTGGAAGGGACCCAATCATCTCCTACCACCTTCTTACCCTCTACCTTCCTGTTATAATAATACCGTCTTTGTTCATCTTAAAAAGTGCGGAACTGGACATAAAATATGACAAAATAATGTGCAATTACTTTATGAGAAACCAACAACAGGAACTGTACAGCTAGTCAGGTGAGCTTCAGAGCTGCATTACTTCACCAGGATCATCCTTGCTTACTTCCACAGGGGTCTGGGGGGAAAAAAGTATGTCAGGTGGGTCCAGCGGTTGCTAGGGTGAAGGGCTCAAGCAATTGCTTTTCTTGCCAAGGGCGGCAAGGGTAGTTGTGTCCAATTCTGTCTCACCTAAGACCTCTGATGCTGGCTGCCAGGGGGCTCAACAATGTGGGAGCTGACGAGAGGTAGAAAGAAACATCAGCTACCAGAACCCTTTGTCAACAAGTATTTATGCAAAGATGGGTTAAGTCTGGGTTGCTGAAATGGGCTGATTTAGGAAAATCTTATGAAGATTGTTCATTTAAAAATATGCTGTTAGCATACTATAGATTAGATCACCCATATCAGATACCTTTGGCTCTGGGCCAGAAACATTCATCCCCTTACCTCTAAATGAAGAATTTTAAAAAAAATTAATAAACTCCTTTAAGAAAATATGTATAAAAGAGCACATGAAAGAAAGTGGGAACTCCGAATTCTGAGTGTGAATAGTAACAGAAGTAGGTAATTTTTTTTTTTTTTTTGGTACCAGGGATTGAACCCAGGGGTGCTTAACCACTGAGCCACATCCCCAGCCCCTTTCCCCTTTTAAAAAAAAATATTATTTTTATTTTCAGACAGGGTCTCACTAAGTTGCTTAGGATTTCACTAAGTTGCTGAGCTTGGCTTTGAATTTGCGGTCTTCCTGCCTCAGCCTCCAGAGCCACTGAGATTTACAGGCATGTGCGACTGTGCCTGGCTAACTTTTTTTTTTTTTTTTTAAATACAAGAAGAGAGTATTTGTTTCTAAAGTTACTAGAGTTGGATTTTCATGCTTAGTTTGTTACTTAGGGGTATACACTTCAAAGTAGGAACAAAGTCAAAGGAACACTTACCCCTCCTGGGGGATATTTAAATCCCTTCCACATCGTTCCTGCAATGAGAAGCAACCATAAGATAACGATCATTGTGGGGCTTCTTGCTCAGCTGGTGGTGTGTGCCTAGGGAAATGGGTGGTTCTGGAAGGTAGTGTTCTATTCCCTGAGTTCTGGGAACTGGGCTGTCTTCATTAGAGACTAGAGGATGGATGGCCCAGCATGACAGCTCCTGGTTGAGGGTCTCTGGGGTCTACTCTAAACTAAAATGGCTCTCCATGGCCATTTTGGGGGGCAGGGCTCAGATACCAATTGTGACATCAGCCCCTGTGACACTATGGAAAAAAAAATCACAGTGCACAGCTATGGGATGGTTGGCCAGGATGCCACATATGTTGGAGCTAAAGAAACCTTATCAAAAGGGCCCTTATACTCTAGTGACTGTTTAGGATCTCAGTAACATCACATCCTTAATAACAACTCATTGCATACTAAAATATATAACTAGTGGCTTTAACAATCTGATACAAAAAAAAAATCACTATTCAAAAAAAACAAAACCATCCTGGATTTATTGAAGGAATTAACTGGTTAGGTATACTATGAGCAATTAACTTTAATGCTATTGTTAGGCTGTTCAAAAAGGAAAATTCTTGCATTTTGTGAAATGCAATTTTCATCAGGCAGCATAAACCTTACAACTACTGTGGGAAAAGAAGACAAGAAAGATGGACTATTATGTTCATTTCACAGCTGAAGAAATAGGCATAGAGTTGTTTAAGTGATCAGGATTACACAATGTGGCAATGTCTCAGCTAAATATGTTTTCAGTTCTTCCATCCACATCCCCACGCTCCTCACAAAGGTCTGACTCCTTTGGGCCAATGCTCTCTTGGAAATCCTGGGGCAGATGGATTAAAAAACAAAATAAACAAGCAAAAAAATCAACAAGAAGAAAAACCAATTACCAAGTGTCCTGTTCTTAATATACCTAAGATTAGGGCTTGACACCTCTTCCTTCTTAAAAAAAAAAAAAAAAAAGGTGGCGGGGGCTTCCAAAAACACTGCTCCTGTGTGATCAGGATAATAAGACTACAAAGAGTTAAGTTTATCTAACAATGGAACCACTCTTGAGAGGCATAAAAAAAATAAAACAACAACAAAAAAACAATAGGATGCAAGAAACCTAGGAGATGGTTTGCTGAAAGCAATATGTCCATTTAATATTTTCTGTAGGCAGTCTGGTCTAGTGGAATGAAAATGAGAGGCCCCTAGGCTTGAATCCTACCCTCATCATTGAGCTGGCCTTGGGTAAATGCCTGAGGACACTATCATCAGTAAATCTTTGTTTACTAATTCATTATTTTACTTAGTTGTTAAGTTAGTATTTTACTAAATGTTAATTGTTTGGTTTTGCATTAGATACCTTACATGAATTCCCATATGTAATTTTTACAAAAATAGTTAAGATACTGAGATATCTCCCATTGTACAGATGATGAAACTGAGGTTCAAGGAAATTAAACTTCCCCAAGGTCACATAGCTAATAAGTGGCAAAGTTAGAACTTGAACTCAAGTTCTTGTTCTCTAGTTTTATGATCTGCCAAAAAGGTGGTTTAAAATGTTGGTACAAGCTAGGCACAGTGGTGCATGCTGGTAATCCCAGCAATTCAGGAGGCTGAGGCAGTAGAACAGCAAGATTGAGACTAGCCTCAGAAATTTAGTGAGACCCTATCTCAAAAATAAAATAAAAAGGGCATCCCTGGGTCTGATCCTAAGGAAGGAAGGAAGAAGAGGGGAGGGGAGGGGTGAGGAAGGGAAAGAAAGGGAAAGGAGCATGAGGCAAAGAACGAGGAAGGAAGGGAGGAGGGGTGAGTTGGTACAAGATAGTAGAGTATTTGTGAGGAGAAAATAAATAAATGGGAATCATCTTCAAAAGCAATACCTATAGGGCTGGGATGCAGCTCAGTGGCAGAGCACTTGCCTAGTATGTGAAAGGCCTGGATTCTATCTCCAGAATAGCAAAAAATCACAACAAAACAAAAGGATACTTATACCTGAATTTTGGCCTCATAGTATTCCCCAAGTCCTCTTTCCCCACCATACACCTCAAATCATCTCCCCTTCTATGGTTTACTCTATTTTCCAGGAGATCAAACTCTCTCTGAGGAGACTCCAGTGCTAGAGTTCTCTGGAAACCCAGCCCAACAAATCTGACCACCTACTTACAGTGACAGATCTTCCTCCAAAGCCCGGCTCCTCCGTCGTGCCTTGCTCTCACGAATGGGCCACTTCTGTTTCCACTTTAGAGGTGGAGGCTGAGTCAGAAAGAAATTTAAAGGTCAAGATGGCTCTACTTGTTGGCCTTGTAGGTAAGTAACTCTGGGTGGTGACTGGAAGTACTGCTGAATGATCCCCCAAGTCCTTATGGTCCCCATTCTACCAGCAACTCATGATCTACTTGTCTTAAAATCCAGAAGCTAGGCACTGTCTCCAGCAGACCCCTTATACATTTCAAGAAAGAAGGGGAAACAAAAAAAGGACTTAAAAGAAGAGTCTCAATGAGATGAGGAGGAGCCTGGGAAACTAACTTTGTTCCCATCACATCCTGATTTCTAATTAGTGGTGAGACCTCAGCTCTCTCCAATTTGGTCAGAAATTCCACATGGAAGTGTGAGGCAGAGCCAGAGGTGGCTACCAGGGATTTACACATAAAGTCATTACTTACCACAAACTCTGGAAATGTGCCCATGTAACATGCAAATCCAACAAAAAGCATCCAGCCAAGTACAATCATGATAAAAAGGAAAATAATTTCTAAAATATAATCGCACAGTGAGAGACTATTCACCAAGATCTTGGCAAAGGAGCGTGCTCATGAAACCTTCAGTTGATAGAGATCTTGCATGTCAGTTCCATTCCTTGGCTCCAAAGGATCCGCAACTCCCTAATGGAGAAGTCGGAGTCTAGTAGGGCATTGTGACATCATTAATCACATGGACCAGACTCAAAACACACCAGAGATGCTTCCCTTAACCAGTAGCTAAGCAGCAAACTAATCTCTTTGTATACATTATCTCATAGAAGCACTATGAGGTAATTATTACTATTAACCCCATTTTGCTAATGAGAAAACTGAGGTGTAGAGAGCCTATATGACTTGCACTAGGGTATACAGCTGGTGGTTAAGATCCTGCCAAGACTTAGGACACAGCTGCTTGTGAGGAAGTCGGGGCGGGGGGGGAGGGGTGTCTTAATATTAGAGACAGAGCTGGAGGTATAGCTCAGTGGTACAACAGTTGCCTAGCTGTGCAACCCCTACATTCTAATCCTAGGGATTTGGAAAGGTATATTGCCTGATCCATGACGCCTGTGAATGAAACAAAATGAATCCTACGTATATGATAGATCTATTTTCTGTCACCACAACACCTCCTTCCCATCTTGGAAGGTCTTTTCTCCAATGTAGGTTTATGGTGCTTTTGTCTAGTATGAGATAACTGTATTTATGTGGGTTTGTCTCTGTGTCTTCTATTCTGTTCCATTGGTCTTCATGTCTGTTTTAGTACCAATACCATGCTGCTTTAGTTACTATAGCTTGGTAGTATAATTTAAGGTCTGGTATTATTATGCCTCCAGCTTCAATTTTCTCACTAAGGATTGTTTTGGCTATTCTGGGGCTCTTATTTTTCCAAATGAATTAATGATTGCTTTCTCTATTGCTATGAAGAACTTCACTGTGATTTAAATACGAATTGCATTAAATCTGTATAGCACTTGTGGTAGTAGTATGGCCATTTTGATTATACTGTTTTGCCTATCTCAGAACATGAGAAGTCTTTCTATCTTTTAAGGTTTTCAATTTCTTTCTTTAGTGTTCTGTAATTTTCATTGTACAGGTCTTTCATCTCTTTTGTTAGACTGATTCCCAGGTGTTTTTTTTTTTTCTTTTTTTGAGGCTACTGTGAATGGGATGATTTTCTTAATTTCTCTTTCAGCTGATTCATCATTGGTGTATAGGAACACAACTGATTTATGGGTGTCAATTTCATACCCTGCTACTTCGCTGAATTCATTTATGAGTTTTAGAAGTTTTCTGATAAAGTTTATAGGATTAAGTAGTTAACAAATAGGGATAGTTTGAGTTCTTTTTTTTTTTTTTCCTACTGTATCCCTTTAATTTCATACTTTTGCCTAATTGCCCTGGCTAGACTTTCAAGGACTATGTTGATGAACATAGATGTAAAAATTCTTAATAAAATACTGGCAATCGCATATAAAACATTCTAAACATTCTTGGACTGTACCATGTCCAAGCAGGTTTCATTCTAGGAATGCATATGGAAATCAATAAATGTAATCCACTACATCAACAGACTTAAGACAAGAATCAAATGATTACCTGAGTAGATGCATAAAAAGCATTTGACAAAATACAGCATCCATTTGAGTTCAAAATACTAAAAAAACTAGGGATAGTAGGAAAACACCTCAATATTGTAAAAGGTATACACATTAAACTCAAGGCCAACATTATTCTAAATGGAGAAAAACTGAAAGCATTACCTCTAAAAACTGGAACAAGACAAGGATGCCCTCTTTCACCACTTCTATTCAACATATTGGAGTATAAATTTTCAAAATAGTTTCTGATTATCCTCTGTATTTCACTGGTATCTGTGGTGATATTTCCCTTTTCTTCACAAATTTTAGAAATTTGAGTTTTTTCCTCTTTCTCTTGATTAGCATGGATAAGGGCTTATCAATTTTGTTTATTTTTTCAAAGAACCAATTTTTTGTTTTGTTGATATTTTTGCATTTTTTAATTTCAATTTCCTTGATTTTTGTCTCTGATTTTAATTATTTCCTGTCTTCTACTGCTTTTAGTGTTGATTTGGTCTTTTCCAGGACCTTGAGATATAATGTTAGGTTATTTATTTGGTGACTTTCAAATTTTTTTTTTTTTTATGAATGAGCTCAATGCTATGATCTTTCCTCTTAGAACCACCTTCATAGTGTGCCAGAGATTTTGATGTTTGTTGCTATTCTCATTTACCTCTAAATATTTTTTAATTTCATCCCTGATTTCTTCTGCTATGCATTAATCATTAAGTAACACATTATTTAGTCTCCAGATGTTAGAGTAGTTACTATATTTTTATTATATCATTGATTTCTAATTTCATTCCATTATAATCTGATAGAATCCAAGGGTATTATCTCTATTTTTTTTGTATTTGCTAGGCATTGTTTTGTGGCCTAAGATGTGGTCTATTTTAGAAAATGATCTGTGTACTGCTGAGAAGAAAGTGTATTAATTCATTGATGAATGAAATATTATATATATATATGTCTGTTAGGTCTATTTTATTAATCGTATTTTTTAGTTCTATATCTTCTTTGGTTAGTTTTTGTTTGGATAATCAATTCAGTCATGATGGAGGAGTGTTAAAAAGTCATTCAGTAATACTATGTTGTGGTCTATTTGATTCTTGAAATTGAGAAGGGTTGTTTGATGTACATAAATGTTCCATTGTTTGGGGCATAAAAATTTATGATTGTTATATCTTGTTGATGTATAATCCCCATAGGCAGTATGAAATAACCTTCTTTGGCCTTTCTGATTAACTTTGGCTTGAAGTCCACTTTATCTGATATGAGGATAGAAACCCCTGCTTGTTCACGAAATCCAAGGGAATGATATGTTTTTTTCCCACCTTTTTACCTTTAGTCTCTGCCTATGAGGTGAGTCTCTTAGAGACAGTATGTTGATGGGTCTTGTTTTTTAATGCAATTAGCCCATCTATGACTTTTGATTGATGAATTTTGGCCATTTATATTCAATGTTACTCTTGAGAAATAATTTTTATTCTCTGCCATTTTATTTCTGGTTTTTAATTTCAATTAATTTCTCCTTTGATTAACTACTCTTCTAGTGTAGTTTCTCCCTTTTCTAGTTTTCAATTTTATTTTTCATTTCTTCTTTATGAAATATTTTATTGAATATGTTCTGTAGTGCAGGCTTTCCAGTTGTGAATTCTTTTTTAACTTTTGTTTATCTTGGAATGTTTTTATTTCATCATCAAATCTGAAGCTTAATTTTGCTAGATATAGAATTCTTAGTTTGCATCCATTTTCTTTGAGGGCTTGGTATATGTAATTCTAAGGCCTCCTACCTTTTAGGGTCTGGATTGAGAAATCAGCTGATATCTGGACTGTTTTCCCTCTGAATGTGACCTGTTGTTTTTCTCTAGCAGTCTTTAAAATTTGGGCATTTTTATAATGATGTGCCTTGGTGTAGGTCTGTTGTAATTTTGTATGTTTGGAGTCCTGTAAGCCTCCTGTATTTGATTTTCCATTTCATTCTTAAGGTCTGGGAAATTTTGTGATATTTCTTCATTGGTTTATTTCTAAGCTTTCATCCATTCTGATAAATCTTGATGCTCTTTTTCATGTTATCCAATGTTTCTTGAAATTTCTGTTCATGGTCACTTAGCGTCTTTTTTCCATGGTCAACTTTATTTTCCAGATTATATATTTTTTCTTCATTGCCTGAAACTCTATCTTCTAAGTAGTCTAGTCTGCTAGTGATGCTTTCCATTGATTTTTTTAATTAAAATTTTGTTTTCATTGTAGTTAGACACAATTCCTTTATTTTATTTTTATGTGGTGATAAGGATTGAACCAACACCCTTGCATGTGCTAGGAAAGCACTCTACTGCTGAGCCACAACCCCAGCCCCTCCACTGAGTTTTTTTTTTTTT